ACATGACCTAAAAATAGATCGCCTCAAATTTAAAGCTAGTTTTTTGTTTATTTTGATTTATTAATTTATTCAAAAAATTTTTTTAGTCTCAGAGCCCCATTTTCCTAGCAAACCTCCCATATGAGCAATTAAATATTTTAGAAATAGAAATAATGTCAAGTGAAAGAAGAAAATATTTGCATAAAAAAATTAAACAATATAAAAGCTTAGCAGTAGAAAGAAAAAGAGAGTTCTAAAAAAATTTAAATTTTATTTTATAAGCAAATATTATTTTTTTAGTTAAATAAGTTTAGATTTAACATTAATATTAGACCTTATTAAAGTTATTGTATCACAAAATTAATATTATTAACTTTTTCAACTTTTTTAACGTTTTTAACTTCTATTTATTATTTTATATATTTATTTTATATTTTGACTTTATTTAATATATTATCAATTTTATCTATTTATTATAAAGTAATATTAAATATAATTTTCTTATAATTGTAATTTTGTATAAATAGGATAGAAAGTTGCACTTATAAAAGAATAATTCAAGAGTATGAGTTCAAGACTTAGAATCTAAAAGTAAAGTTATTTAAACATACAAATCTACAATAAAAAAGAATCACTTTCTATACAATTATCTATAATATTCCTTTAACATGTCTAAAGTGTTTATCATTTTGTTATAAATTATAAAGTTAAACTCATATAAAATACTTATTAATTAATAAACTTAAAGGTTGATCATGACAGAACTTATCTCATAGTAATCATAATTAAATATATATATTACTTTCTGTTATCAAATTAATGTTTGACAGTTAAACGTAAAGTTAATAATATTATTTTAAAATAAATTTTTTTTAGAGTTTCCTCCTTTTCTATTGCAAAGCTCTCATATATAGATAATTCATATAAAGATATTTATTGTTTTAAACTTTAAGATTTATTATTATTATTATTTATTTATTTTTATTTATATTTATATTTATACTTATTTTTACTTTTACTTTTATTTTATTTTGTCATTTTATTTTTATATATAAATTTTTTTTAATAAATTTTCATTTATAAATTATTTAATTTATTTTAATTAAAAACTTTACTTTTTTAAAAAAAAAAAAATATTTATAATGAAAATATTTTCTGAAAATATTCATACCCCCATAAATAAAAAGTTTATATATATAAAAATATAAATAATTTGAAACTATAAACTATTAAATTTAATTTAATATATATTGATCATTTCTAAAATTAATGTCGATTATTTCTAATTCTAATTTTAAATTTTATGATCAATATTACATGAAATTTTAAGCATTTTTATTAGCCTAATTGCTTGTTTTATTAATAAGCTAATAATCTCTGAAAATTTAACCAAATAAAGCTCATTTAATATACTATAATATAAATTAAAAATCTTATTTTTTGTTAAAAAGTTTTTGTAATCCATTTTTAATAGTACAGCTTTCATATGATATATAACAAAAAGCAAATAAAACACAAAGGAATTTATTAAACATTATCAATTTAATTTATTATATATTATTGAACATGTATAAAAAACTAAAAGTTTTAAGAGATGTTACAAGAATTATTTTTATAAAAAAATAAAAGTATAAAATTATTTGTCTTATATTAGAGAAGAATATAAAGGAAATAAATTCAAGATATACTAATATTATTGAGTGATATAAGACAAATGATCATATTTTTTAGGTCCAAAATATGTATTGTACTCATAATCCTTATAACCCTGCAAAACTAAATTCTTTAAAAATATTAAAATTCTTTTTTTAGAGAGCATAAGTATTTTTAAAATTAAAAGTTAAAAAAACATCAGTTCAAATATTTGAAAAGACTTTACTATTGTTACAATTTTATGAAAGAAAAAAACATCTTTTTAACTAAGTTTTAGATAAAATTAACATGATAGAACATTATTATATTTAGCTAATAATTATAATTGGAACTATCATAATTGAATATTGATTCTGCATAAAATTTAAACAAAAATTTCTACGTCTAATTTTAATAAATGATGTAAAAAAGATATTGATATCATGTAGTTGTTAGTTATCTTTGCTACTTTATTTATATTTTTTCCTAAACTTTATTTCTCTTATATTTTAAAGAGATCAATTATAGTATTTCATCAATTATTCATTAATATCAGAATGATTCATAACTTGAATTGCAAATGATTGGTATTATTGAATTAATGAATTCAATTCATAAAATAATGCATTCATAATAAAATTTTTATCTTATATAAATAACTTTATTATTATAAAAAGAAATCATATAAAAAAGAGCATTTATACAATTATTACTTATTATAATATTGATTTTGTAAAATTATGAATCAAAAAAATCTACTATAAAAGATTTAAAAACTTTAAAGCATTGAAAAAATATTGCTTCAGTTAGATGAAAGCCTATAATAAAGATCATTACCTTGTGACAGGTCAGCCATGATGCAGCTAATACCACCTATAATCCAAGCATTACCATATATTGTTTGCATGATGAGACCATGTTCTAAACGTTTTATTTCTTCAAGTACTGGTTTAATAAAGTCATCAAAATTCGCCCCAAATGAAACAAATCCAATTAGAAAACTATTCTTAAGTAGCTTTCGAAAAGACAATAGCATATTTCCAAACTGCAAATACATGTCTTTTAAAGAATAGTACACATTCCTGTAAGTGCTAAAATCGTCAACATAAATGTCAAGAAAGATCTTTAGAACAGGTATATTTTGTGATGGTGGCTTAAGCTTAACATATTCATAAGATAGTCTATACCTCTTTGATATATCACGATATTTCCATCAGCCACCAAAGTGATACAATATTTCTTGGATATAGAATTCGTATTTTACAGGTTCTGGCTGGTCATATAACGATACAACAATACGCCGATCTATATTTCCCAAGTTAATCAAATTCGTTTCTCCTTCCACAAGTCATAGCTCTTTTCATTTTCACAGATACGTCAGCTATTACTAGAACGGTGGTTAGGAAGTTTTTGATGCGTTAATATTTGATCAACCTTTAATTTAATTGTCTAATCCATTTCATCCAAAACTATACTACGTACACGGCATATAAACGTTGATGATTGGTTATGATAGATCTAGAAGTCACCAGCGTTAGGGTTTCTCAAAATCAAATCAAATCAAATATTTAAGCAATTTGAATTTGATTGATTTTTTCAAATTGAATTGAATTGAATCGAATTGAACTCAAATATTTGATCGAATCAATTTGAATCAATTTGAA